ATGCACGCTGTCGCGATCACCTGAAGCTTATTCCAGTTACAATATTAACGATATGATCCATCACAATAAATACGCATGCCTATCTCAATAGCAACAATAGTAATTCTTCACACTTATACAGCACTTTCCTGGACACTCAAAGCGCTTTACAGGTAATGGGGATCCCCTCCACCACCACCAGTGTGTACCCCCACCTGGATGACGCACCAGTACACTCCCCACACACCAGCTCTCAGTGGGGAGGAGAGCAGTGATGAAGCTAGTCCAGAGATGGGGGATTATTAGGAGGCCATGATGGGTAAAGACAAGGGGGAAATTCGGCCAGGACACTGGGGTAACACCCCTACTCTTCTCGAGAAACGCCCTGGGATTTTTCATGACCACAGAGAGTCAGGACCTCGGTTTTACGTCTCATCCGAAGGACGGCGCCTGTTTACAGTACAGTGTCCGAAGAGCCTTGCCGCTCGGCACGTTGTTTACAGGATTCTGGGAAAAAGCACCCCGGCTCTCAGGGATAGACGCAAAAAGCATTCCACTTGATGCGTGTTTTCCTTTCTTTTGATCAGTAATTATTTTAAATGAATTATTAAAGGTACTGAAAACTTAATAAAGATAAATATTAAAGGCCGGGGGGGTTCCCGGGGGGTGAGGAGGGAGCGGACCTCTGCTCTGGGGGGACACGGCGGGGGGGCCGGGCGGGCGAGGGGTACAGAGGCCGGGGGGACTCATGGGTGGGGGTGACGGGCCCACAGGTGGACAATGTGGGGGTGCAGGTGCCCGGCCACAGCCCGAGAGAGAAGGGCCCCTAATTGGTCCTTAAACACCAGAGCCAAGGAGAACTGTTGCCATCATAAGAAATTGATGAATTAACAGCGAGAGAGTAGGGAGAGCTCTAAATCTTTTAAAAGGATAGCTTACTTGGGCAAAACAGCTGTTTATGCATTATTTGTGCCGGGAGCTGCCCATCACCGTTTAGGATTAAAAAAAAAAAAAAACAGGGCCAGTACAGGGAGACACTCCGTGAGGGAGAGAGGCCTGGGAGGACAGAGGAGTTTATCGTTTAGAAAGTCAGCTTGATGAAATTTTAATCTGCTGGTGGTTATTTTAAAGACTTTCGCCTGTCAGTCTGCGTCTTTCGTTTAAGTGACAAGTCACTGGAGGGGCTGGAGTGGAGTTTGTGGTGGTATTCTGGACAGCCCCCCCTCCTCCCCACCCCCCCCCTACCTCCCGGGTCCCATCGGAAACTCAGAACTTCCCGGTGACGGACAGCAGCTAACTAACCAGGATCGGCTGCGAGGCTGGGGGGGGCCGGGGGGGAGAGACCCCACCCCTGCCTCTTCCCAGAGCTCGGCTGCAGGACGAAGGCGGCGTTCCGCGGCTCAGAGAAGCGGGACAAAAAAGAAAGCAATCCAGCTCTCCAGAGGAGGAAGAGGAGGTGAGAGATCGAGAGGAGCAAGATGGCCACCACTGTGTTTGCCTTGGGCTCGGGCCAGCAGGGTGTGTTTGTCTGGTCAGGGGTCCTGCCTCCCACCAGAGGCTCAGCACGCGCGCCCCACGTCCTGAAGGATTCAAATGAGCTGAACGCGCTTCCAAAGCTTCAATTCAAGGCAAGAGGTCCGAGCTGGAGGGGGGCAACAGGGGTGTTCAATTCTGACCCCTTCTGAACATCTGCTGATTTAAAAAGAAAACGTACGAGTTGGAAACTCTCCTTCTGGTGTCGCTGCCTGCCGCCAAACCACTGCCATGAACGTATTGGCGCCTTTGTTCTTGCTCCGGGATCGGAGACGGCACTTCCCTGCTCCGCCCCGAGGTGTGTCCAGGCTTTCCCGCTCCCTGCCTAGGCCCCTGTCTCCGGCCTGCCAGAGGAGAGCCTGGGCTCCTCAGCGAGAAACGAGCCTCCTGAACTTGCTCCTGTCCGGGGGGGATGCAGGCACAGGACCGGGGCCCAGCGGCCTCGCCCCTCTCCAGAGCCTCAAAGATCCACAGGGGCAGATCGCCGGAGAACTCTTCGACCTGGGGATCGGGGAAGCATCCCCAGAACCCCCAGCAGCAGTTCCCAGATTCCCAATTCACACCCCACCAAGAGCCCACGCCCTATTTCTCCAACACATAATGGAAGCGAAAGAGAAGATGCTTTTAAAAGCCAGGGACCAAAGAGCTGCAACACCAACAGGACAGTCCCCAGCTACGACACACTGTACCTTATCATCCACATGTACAAATATAAAATCAGGTTGAAACTTTGAACAGCTGAGGGCCGTGATTAACTCTCCATTTATTCTTTCTCCGATTGAGAGGAAGGTGTTGAAATGGTAATGTGTTTAAATGTCAGTGGAAAGGTATGGATCTCATCAACCTTTAGTCACCCAGGCACTTTGAATATTCTTATTGGCATCATGCATTAGTAATGAGATTTGAGAAGTAAGGAAAATTTAACCTCCGCTGTACCTGAAACAATGAATATTAATGAGTCCTATTATCTGTACATGATCTGAAAGAATTTAACCCCAAGCTCCTCTGTCTTTCCGTTTTTTTTTTCCAAGGCTCTTTAAGAAGGGGCTGTTTGTCATATTAAAATAGTATTTGCCCAGTCTTAGAGAAGAGCCTCTGGAAGGGTTTCAGGATTAATTACTTGACAGAGGGTATCAGCCCAGAGATAAGCACAAATAACCCTGAAGGGGCCAAATCCTTTTCACCTACACAGGCCCATCTGAAGATACACCCCCTCCCCCTGCAGCATCAAGAGCAATTCGGTCCCGAAACAGGGGACTGCTCATTCTGCTTCTCGGCTGCTTTACCATTAAATAAGATCCTTAAAAAAAAAAAAACATTCCTTTTTTCCCCCCTCGGTGTTTGCAGTGGTTTTCCGAGGGTCTTGCAGTTTTATTTGTGCAAACCCGGTTACTGTGCTGTTTAAAGGCGTCCAAAAAAAGCCGCGTCTTAATTGGTCTGTAATTACAGGCTGCAGGGGCACTCTGTCCTCAGGTGTAAATGGGTATTTAATGTTAAATGTATCTGGGATTAACATACCAAGCACAGAAGGCGACAGAAGAGATTCCCAGGAATCTGAGCAGGCTTGCCGAATGGAACTCCCCCCCAACACTGTCGCCCTACCTCCCTCCTTCCCTGCTGTTTGTGCAATCCAGACTGAAGCCTGCATCCCCAGTCCCAGAGCGCCCATCTCCTCCTCTCATCCCTAATAATGTCGCCCAGCTTGGGCCTGTCTTCTTGAAAGGGCCTGCTTTCTCTACTCTGATCCCTAACTAAGCCTATAAACTCCCGGCCTTATTAGCCTCTGTCTATTGATCCGGAGGGCTTTAGGTGCTGGCCTCCCCTCATTAGCTCTGGATAAAGTTGTAATCCACCCAAATCCCAGCGCCTGCTTATCCCCTCTCAGCGGCAGGCTGGCACCCCCACCCTGGCCTCCGTGCAGAGATCCGGCCCCATCCGGGCCCTCTCGGAGAGAGTGTGTGCACTCATTATCCGAGTCCTGTTGCCATCTTCCTGTTTTTCTGAATGTCAGGAAAGGGTCTGCAGCCCACAGATGCTCATTCGGCTTAACGTCGGTCTGATCTATTAGCATTTAGGAGAGAGAACGCAAAACAAAAAAACATCATCATCCATCCACCCATCAGCCAGGTGGGGCTGCACAGTGGTGGTGGTGGAGGGGAGTCCCCATTACCTGTAAAGTGCTTTGAGTGGAGTGTCCAGAAAGAAATGTATGATTATTAATACTCCCTTCCATGAGACAGGCCTGCATCTACCTGGGGTCTACCCAGAACTTGAAATCTGTCTAAATCTTCTGAGCTTCTAGGGTGTTTGAGATTATCTTCAAACTCAGACTAATGTTCTAACATAAATGTTAAATAATTGATTGGAAGAGCATTGGCCCTAATACACAGCCCTGTGGTACTCCACTAACCAGGTCACCCCAGGTTGCACACTCATCCTTTATTTATTATCATCCCTCTGTGTTTCATTGACCAGTTTTCAATCCTCAGATAGACATGACCTTGAACTACTGCCAGCAATTCAAGAATTGATCTTTTTTAGAGCCCTTTAAAAATATAAATACTCCACATCATCTCTGTGAGTATCCATCACTGCTGTTGCTTGTTCAAAGGATTCTAAAAAGTTAGTTAAGCAGCTCTGGCTCTGTGGCTAAGGATCTGCTCCTGTAGCTTGAAGTTTGCGGTTTGTATCCCGCGGTTGGCAGAGGAATCCTACTCCGTTGGCCCTGAGCGAGGCCCTTAACCCCAACTGCTCCAGAGGCGCCGTATAAATGGCTGACCCTGCGCTCTGACCCCCAGCTTCTCTCCCTGTCTGTGTGTCTCATGGAGAGCAAGCTTGGGTATGTGAAAAAGACAAATTCCTAATACAAGAAATTGTATATGGCCAATAAAGTGATATTAAAGTGATTTAGTTTCAATTATTTTTTCCTTAACACTAAGTACATAAGCAACAAGAACAACTGGTCTGTGTTTGGTTCGGTGTTGCTTTAGACTGTCTGTAAACCATTTCTCTGATTGAAAAAGAGCCATTCCATAGGGTGACAAGTGAGAGCTGCAAGCTGGTGGCCCTGCGGACCTTATTTTATGCTCTCTTAAAGCTGAAGAATAATTAACCACGCCTTTCCCTCCCCACCTTGTCAGGTATCCTAGGCTCCACTGCTGCTCACTGCAGTCTGCGCGCAGTGCACAGCGGTCGGCGCGGGCAGGAGGGCACGGGTTCGAGGGCTGGGGGGGTCGGATCACTGAGAGGCAGGGATGGGGAAGGGTCATGGTGGAGCCAGTGGGACTCTGCCCCAGTACACCCAGCTGGCGGAGTCACTGAAGATCCAGGTTTTACAAGCAGGCTGGTTGTGACGGGTGGGGAAGGTGGGGTACCCCGGTTTCTGCCCTGTTAATAGAGAACCTAACCCCCCCTCTGTGAGTATCCTGGCTACAGCCCTGCTCCCTCAAACCCCCCCCCCCCACTACCACCACCACCCCTCACACGTCTTCCTCTGAACCCTCACCTTTGTTTTCTCATCTTCACCACGGAGTCTGTTTTCACTCATAGCTCTGCCACCAGGGGATTCCTCCCTACTCCCACTCCTTTCCCATCTCTCTCCCTCTCCCTCTCTCTCTCTACCTGCACCGGCTCCGAACAGCGCTATTGATCGGGCCGGACCGCACTCACAATGCGGCGCGCGCAGGGAAGGTTTGCTTCTTTCAACAGCGATCAATACTCTTCTTCAAAGCTCTTTATCCATTAAAACAAAGGGGAGGGGGGAAAAAAAACGGAAGAGAGTGGGAGAAGAGCCGTGCGGGACAGACCTCCTCACCTCTCTTTCCCCCCAGAGCGATCACCCACCGAGCACGCGGCACACCCCCACGGGTCGATCGTGCGGAGCCGGGGGCGCCGGGGAAGGGTGTCCGAATAAATCCTGCAGGCGGAGCTCGCGGGGTTGAGGAGAAATCCTGGGCCCGAGGGGGAAGAGCTACTGCAAGCTCAGCCTTGATGCCCGCCGAGATGCTCAAAGGCTGGACCTCGGAGGCAAAAACAGGGCACCCATCCACAACAGCGCCCCTCTTCGACGAGAGCTATAAATGACTGAAAGGAAGCCCGCTAGGGCCGGTCGAGAGCTCCTGCAGCAGTTGCATGTTGCTTTGGGGTTTTTGTTTTGCATCCATCCATCCATCTGCTTGGTTTAGCAAAGACGCTCCCCGTCCCTCCCCCATCTGTCTCTCTGCACTACAGGCAACTGCACTGCGTCTCCCCCACACCTATGTGACATCACATCCCCCGCCGACACGATGACATCATAACGACGACGTCATCCATACCCGTCCTGAGCTCAAACTTGCAGGAAATGCAGGAAGCTCGCAAAGCCACCCTGGTATTCCACCTTCGGCTTGCCTTCTGATTTCTGTGAGCGGCGCGTGCAACGGCAGTCTTCCATATTTAAACATGTTAAGCTTTGCATTTTTCCTCATGGGCTGGGAAACACACAGTCTCAAATTTCTCCTTGCTTTCTTTGTTAACACCTTGTGCCATTTGGCTGCATATGACTAGGTTCCTCGCTGATTCTGCCGGCGTGAGAACAAGATATTTTAAGCACCAACAGTGCTTCATGTGAACAAACCTGATTAGCAGCATGTTCCAGCACTAAGATCTTAAAGCTGTTTTGCATCAAGCAAACATCTGTTGTAATAGAAACAGTGAATGAAGAGATGGGCCTGTGGATTTAATGTCAGCACGACAGACTTGCGCTCGAACCCGGGACTGTGCCGCTCCCCGTGTGTCTGCGGACTGCCTGCTGCAGCTCAGTGATACAGGCCGTGGGAAGAGTCGCACTGATAGAAGAATGAGAGAACCAGAAAAGTTTTTGCTGCTGCTGTTCCAAGTCCTTTATCTTTGCTATGATTTAGAAAGTCAGAAACAATTATATTTTTGTGATATATCTTCCTTTTTTCCCTCGGATTTCAGTAATTTGATTTTCCAGCTCGGGAGATCGTTGCCTTTAATACAAATCATGTTTGAATCGTTACTTTAAGACCTTAAGCCCTCACTGAGCGTCGGGGGGATTGGGATAATGAGCTCAGCTGGGACTTCAATCATCTCTGCATCTGATGAGAGAAAAAAAGGGGAAAAAAAGAAGGAAAAAATCAACGATTTCTCCCCCCAAAAAATCTAATTCATTTTGAGGATTAATAATAAAAAGAAAACTCTTTTTAACTCGGACTTCTTGTGTTTTCTAAATATATTTTTCCCTCGACTCCTCCTCCTCCTCCTCCTCATCCTCCTCCTTTCCTGCACTGCTGCTCCTTTCAAAAAATGCAAAACAAAATACAGAAACAACAGCTTTCCTCCTCCCACTGTGCCCCACCTCAAAAAATAAATAAATCCTTCTGATATTACTGTCCAGACGCTCCTTTATTAAACCCCCTTTTCCTGCTTGTCTGGCTCTGGCCTCTTCTCTCGTTCTCGGGGACAGACGCCGAAAACTGCACCCCCAGAGCCCATTCGCAAGCTGACCCACACAGAGGTCTGAGGGGCGTCTCTAACCCGGCTGGCCCTGGCCTGTGCACTGCAGAGCTCTGCACCCCAGGGAGCAGCGATGTTCTCACATCCTCCTGGTAGAGGCCCTGGAGGTGGTCTCTGCGGTATTCCAGGGCCCCCCGAGGAAAACCCAAAGATTCCCATCGCACAGCAGCCTGCGCAGCTCCGGTATGACCATGCACAGCAGCCACGAACAGGAGCTGGCGATCTCAGACATTTGACATCTCCAGACGACGTCACACGCCTGGCCGTTCTGCTGCTTCTGCACCGCGATTCGAAAACAACTTGCGGCGGACGGCATTACTCTCGGGGAGGTGGGAGGAAACCGAAGAACAGGCCACAGAGAGACCCCATGTGGACATGGGGGAGAACATGCAGACTCCACACAGAAGGCTTCACAGGCTTGGATCGCTCCCAGAACTAAAGAGCTGTGAAGCGACAGTCGGTGGCAGCCATCACACCCTCAGGGAGGCAGTACTGTGACCTAAGCGAAGCCTGGCCTGTCTGAGAGAGCATCAGCTCCACACAGGTACGCTGTCCTGCCTGACTGACCAAGTTCGATCCTTAATCCCCTGTTCACACTCTTTCACAACAGCCTAACGCCGTGCAGAATAACTGGGGCAGCCGAGAGACAATGGATTAAATCTCCAAATGAGTCCTGAAGTACAACTCATCCCGAGAAGAACTGACAAAGCCTGCTCAGCTGGGTATTTAAATGATGCTAATTACAGATAACTAATTAAGCGCAACTCAAACTGAAAAGATTATTTATCGTTATTACGCGGCTTAATAATTGAAAACCCCCTTCTAAAATTAATAACGTCTATTCTGCGGAGGCAGTGAAAGGCGCTCTGGCTGGGATCTGCCGAGGGGAGGGGGGGCTGTCGGCCTCCACTGTGCACACTCACCTCAAAACGAGGGAGAAAACGGA